ATAACCAAATATCATGAGATTTGTTGTTCTTGGCTTCAAAAACAGATCAAATAGATGAAAACCTGAAGCAGGCATTGCAGAAGGATTTAAATGTCATGGCCCCAGGTCTCACTATTCAGGTAAGCTCAGAAATTTCTAGGGACATTCTGGGGGCGGGGGGGGGGGGGGGGGGGGGGGGGGGGGGGGCGGGTTTCTAGAGCTTCCAGTTCAATGCTTTCATGTGATTGGTTATGCAGTTCCTTAATCAAATCACTATGGTGACTTTACATCCTTGTGAAAATGAGAAGCATGCTGAATGGTATTTTATGGTCAATTTTTAGGAGGATAATCCAAAGCTCTTATGAAGAACTAAGTTTATATTTCAACTAAGTATGCGTTCTTTTTAAACATAGTAATGGTTATTAACCATTATAAAAGTCTACATTGCCTTCAATAACATGAAAAGGGAGTTCAAATTGAAGAACTAAACAACAGTTCTAGACGAAGTAGATGTCACAGAGTATTAGTTGACAGGTAATCCATGGGGCAGTGATTGCTATTAGAGTGTTATAAGAATAAGAGGCTGTAGCTAAAGTTTTTCTGGTCCTGCCTGGCCCACAGTCAGGACAAATCTCTCTCACCCGCCAGTCCCGCAGCCGCTCAGACCCAACCAAGTAAACATACAGAGACTTATATTACTTATAAACTATTTGACCTAATGGCTCAGGCTTCTAGCTATCTAGTTCTTACATCTTAAATTAACCCACATCTATTAGTCTATAAGTTGCCATGTGGCTCGTGGCTTACCGGTACCTTAACATCTGCTTCTCATGGCGGCGGCAGCGTCTCTCTGCCTCAGCCTTCCACTTCCCGGCATTCTCCTCTCTCCTTGTCCTGCCTATACTTCCTGCCTGGCTACTGGCCAATCAGTGTTTTATTTATTAACCAATCAGAGCAACACATTTAACATACAGAACATCCCACAGCAAGAGGCTATTTCAAGAGAGCATGCCTAAGGACTTTATTTCAATTAAGGTTCTAGGGTAATCCTGACATGTTCATTAAATTTACATGAAAAAAAGGAGAAAAATATTTCATGCCAGGCATGATGTTACTCAGATGCAGCTGAAATCTTAGTAGCTACATAGAATTCCTTCCCTCATATTACTTAGCCATTTTTCTGTTCCCAGTTTTTTATTAATCAGCATTAGTATAATGAACCATGACACATTCTCCTTATGTACAAATTGTCTTTCAAGGAGATTGCACACATACACATCATTATCATCAGTGTTCCTATGATACAGTCACTAGCATTGGGTTCAATGAAATATGCAGGCTCTCTCCATGTAGATAAATGAGTGGTTCTCTCCCTTTGACTTGCATTTCTTTGGTTATATGTAATGAAGTTAAACATCTTTTGATATTTTTCAATAGTCAACTTCGGCTAGTGTCTGCTTCACATCCTTTGCTCATTTTTCTGGTGGATTTTCTTTTTCTTACTGATGTATAGTGTTTCTGCATAAGTTCTGGATATTTTTAAACACAAACTCAGCTTTGTTGTTTCTACTAATAATTCCTTTGGTTGGTGGTGGCGGGAAGGGAGGTGGGTGGATATTTCTTCCATATGAAATTTAGGCACTGCTTTAAATCTGTAGATGATTTAGTTACACAGCCATTTCCACAATGTTAATTCTCTCAGTGAGCAATCCATGGAATCCTTCACAGGATGCATCTCAGCCACCTTACTTTTTGTACCTTACTAATCTCTAGACTGGAGCTCAGCAAGGTTTGCCATGGGTTTGGGTGACCTATGGGTACCTAAAAAGGACCTATGCAGTTCATTGTCCACCTCTGCAGCCACCCCTTGTAGCCCAGCAGGGCCAAGAAGACCCAGGCAGTCTAAAGAGAGGCCTAGCATTCCACTTTCCTCCCCACTAAGCCCCCAAGCACCCATTCTACATCCAGAGGAACAAAATCACAGTGGGTAATATGCCGTTGGCCTTGGTGAGAGGGAGAAGAATTATCTCACTGGAAAGTTTGAGAAACCGTATTTGCAAAGCTAATAGGATTTCTTGTAAAAGAAGCACAGTTTTATCCATCTTTGCAACAGATCTTCTCACGGACCCAAATCATGGTATGAAAGATGTTAAAGTGGTTGTCATTCTGGTCAAGACTCATATCATGGATTTATGAGTTCTGCTTTAGCATCCAAAGACTGGCTATCTATATTTGCCCAGCCTGGGTAACATTTTGCATTCTGCAGACATCAAATGGTTTGGTTCATCCTGGCCATGGAGTTTTGTCTAAGTGAGCCAGACAAGATGTCCTTCTCAACTGTTCATAATGTTCAGGACCCAGGAAACCAATTCCAATAAGGAGGATTTGGAACAGTTCACCGTGCATTGTTTCCTGGCTGAATCAGAACCAGAATGCCTTGTCTGAGGCCCTTATTCTCAGAAGGGTGTATCATCCAAGTAGCACTGTGTCCTACATATTGCTCATCTTTCCCTATTATTGGTGTACTGGGGGGTCTTTGGATGTAGACGTTTTTTCTAAAGCCAAGGAGCTGCTACAGAAGTCAGATAAGAAGCCCATTCACTAGGAGCTGTGACCCCTGCTCTGAGGGGCATTGGCCTCTAAGGCATTTTTGAGGAGCTGTTACTAAAGTGTTTGACAATTATGAAGTCAATGAAAAACTTCCCTGTTCCTAAGTATATTGTATAAGGAGGGAGAGAGAGACAGCCACCAAGAACCAAGCTGCCCTTCCTAGGCAGAAACTGTAGGTCCCCTTAGACCAGTGTGTAGTAGTATTTGCTGCGCCCATGACCTTGGGCTACACAGCCAGTCACCAGGATAAAATAAAAAAGGAAGAAGGAAACATGTGACCCCTCTCTTCTCTCCTTTTAAGAGGTCAAGTACAGTGGCGCATGCCTTTAATCCCAGCACTCAGGAGGCAGAGCCAGGCGGATCTCTGTGAGTTCGAGGCCAGCCTGGTATACAAAGAGAGTTCCAGGACAGGCACCAAAACTACACAGAGAAACCCTGTCTTGAAAAAACCAAAAAAAAAAAAAAAAAAGAGAGAGAGATCAAGTACGTTGGCCAGAAGCACCGCCTCCTTCAGGCCTATAGCCCAAGGTCATGGGTGCTTCTCAACCTTCTTTTTTTTTTTTTTTTTTTTGGTTTTTCGAGACAGGGTTTCTCTGAGTAGCTTTGCGCCTTTCCTGGAACTCACTTGGTAGCCCAGGCTGGCCTCGAACTCACAGAGATCCGCCTGCCTCTGCCTCCCGAGTGCTGGGATTAAAGGCATGCGCCACCACCGCCCGGCACTTCTCAACCTTCTTAATGCCAGTGACCCTTTAACACAGTTCCTCATGTAGTGATGACCCCCCAACCAAAAAATAAAATTATTTCATTGCCACTTCATAATTGTAATTGTGCTACTGTTAGGAATAGTAATGTAAATCTCTGATATGCAACCCCAAAGGGGTCTCGACCCACATGTTGAGAACCACTACCTTAGACTATCTCTCTGAGCCCTCTAAGCAAGAATAAAATAAGGAACTCAACCAAAGCAGATGTTGCTTAACCCAAAATACCTGTACTTCTCCCAAAGACAGGTGCAGTCAAATATAGTAGGAAACTTGTGAGTTTTCACAGACTGAAGAAGTTGCTTGCCTTCATCCTGTTTTTTTTGAGGGGTTTCCACCAGTAAGTGGTGAAGGTTGAGCAGAGAAGAGAGGTGGTGTTTGTTTGGTCTTTAGGTTTTTTTGCTTGTTTATTAAATACAACTTTATTTTATGTACATTGGTGTGTTGATGTCAGATCCCCTGGAACTGGAGTTATAGACAGTTGTGAACTGACATGTAGGTGCTGGGATGTGGTGATATACTGTGTACCCTAATAAATTTGCCTGAAGATCAGAGAGACAAAGGAACAAGCCACTGCCACGTCTTACCTCTAGGACTCCTCAGCCTGAGAAGATTTTAGTTCCCATCGCCTCACACCTTATATACCTTTCCCACCCAGCCATCACTTCCTTCCTACGTAATATTGTAAGACATATAGATAGAAAGAAGGCTATATTTACTGTGAGGCTGCATAACCTTCAAGATAATTGATATACATATATGAAGGGGAATCTGTGGCTGCATTCCTGCTGAACTGCACCTAGCCTGGCTCCAGAGAGTAGCACCTAGCCCTAATCCGTCTTTTGTTTAGCAAGACACCTTTTGTTTCCCTTTTTGCCCTCTATGTGAATCTTGTCTCAGAGTCTCCCAAGGATACAAAGTCCTATGCAAAACTTGGTTCAGGAAACCCAGAAAACCATGGTACCTGAGAAATCGAGGAATTTGCACTTGGCATTGTATTGTTGGGAGCTCCTTTCAGGTTGTTTTGAGCATATGGAAATTAACTGGCTAAACTGTATTGGAGAGAAGTAAAATTGCCCTAGGTGAAGGGAAAATGCTTCAGTCCTTCGAGGCTAGACCCCCCCTCCCCCTGCAGCCATAAAAGGCTAGATCCATTCTTAAGGTGCCCCTGAGTCTTCCATTCCACAAATCCATGTGAACCCACACACCTTTGCAGTGACACACAGTGGCATGCTGGGATTAATGGCATGTGTGCTTCCCAAATACTGGGATTAAAGGTGTGAAATTTCAAGTGCCTGGGATTAAAGGCGTGTGACTCCCAAGTATTGGGATTAACAATATGTGCCACCACTGCCTGGCTCTGTTTCTCTCCTAGACTGAGTCAATCTCAGGTAGTCCAGGGTGGCTTTGAACTCAACAGAGATCCAGATGGATCTCTGCTTCCCAAGTGCTAGGATTAAAGGCATGTGCCACCACTGCCTGGCCTCTATGTTTAATCTAGTGGCTTGTTCTGTCCTCAGATCTTTAGGCAAATTTTATTAGGGTACACAATCTATCACCACACTAGAAATTGAACCCAGGTCTTCTGGAAGAGCAGCCAGTGCTCCTAACTGCTGAGCCATCTCTCCAGCCCCTTTAGTTTTGGTGTTTTGTTTTTTTTTTTTTTTTTTTAATTTGCGGGTCATCCTTGCGCAGGGGCCATGCTAATCTTCTCAGTATCGTTCCAATTTTAGTATATGTTCTGCCAAAGTGAGCACTAGTTTTGTTTTTAAATGAGGAAATGAGTGGTTTTCTTCTAAGGCCATGCAAAGGTTGGGTTATGTGTTTTTATAATTAAAGAAATTATTTATGTATTTGGGTGTTTTGCCAACATGTATGTCTATGCACCACAATGAGGACTTCTGGATGCCTTGGAACCGGAGTTACTGCCAGTTCTGAATCCCTGTGTGTGTACTGGGAATCAAACCTGGGTCCTCTGCATCTCTTAACCATTGAACATCTCTCCAGGCCTCAGAGGTGGAGGTTTTTAGGTCATCAAAAGTGTGACAAATGCTGTTTCTGTTTTTATGGTATTGAGAATCCAACCCATGATGCTGTTTTTTAGGGACTAAAAATCCCTTTGTGATTTTTTTTTCTACAATAAAGAATTCCTCCATTTTATAAAATACTTAAGCAAATACTTATGGGTTTTCCCCCTAGTCTTTTAAAATAAACAGTCTTTACTTGGTCTGTACCACCAGCTTAGATACTGATGGAGTGTTTTTGTTGTTGTTTTGTTTTGTTTTTTTCTGTAGACAGGGTTAAAAAAAAAATTTAACCCTGAGTGAATTGGGAAAGAAAGGATTGTTGAAAGTTAGGGGCTGGTGAAATGACTCAGCAGTAAGTGTAAAAATGTCTTTCAAAAAATTGGAAGTTTTGAAAGTTAAAAAAAAAAATAGTGGTGGTGGCGCATGCCTTTAATCCCAGCACTGGGGAGTCAGAGCCAGGAGGATCTCTGTGAGTTCGAGGCCAGCCTAGGCTACAGAGCGAGATCCAGGAAAGGCGCAAAGCTACACAGAGAAACCCTGTCTCGAAAAACCAAAAAAAAAAAAAAATAATAATAATAATAATAAGATTCATGTTCTTAAATGCTTTGTTACTTAAACATTTAGCCAGTTTTCAAAGGGAGATTAAATCGTGACTTACGAGTATGCAGTATCAGTGGTGGGTGCAGGATGTTTAGTTAGTAAATACAAAAGCTTCCAGAGATAAGTTCTTAGTGTAGGAAAGTCAGCCTTCAAAAGCAGCACATTCCAAGTAGACACTGTTAATCAGACCAAAGTTCACCTTGATTAGAACAACAAAGAATCAGTGAAGACTGTCTACAAATACAGGTAAACTTTGTTCTAAATGGGATCTAGAAAGAAAGAAGGCAAGCTCTGAGTTGCTATTTATTATCCTAAAGCAGTGGTTCTCAACCTTAATAATGTCATGACCCCTTATACAGTTCCTCATGTTGTAGTGACCCCAACCATAAAATAATTTCATTGCTACTCCATAACTTTGCTACTGTTACGAATCACAAATATGCAGGATATCTGATATGTGACCCTTAAAGATATCACAACCCACACACAGATTGAGAGCCACTGTCCTAAAGCTTCGAGCTGCATTTACACCTAGTACCAACAGATTACAACTTTAGAAAGTGATGATCATTTGCTTGCCGGACACAGTATTTAGTTACACATGCCGATTGGAATTTTCATGTGCCTTTGACATAATTTACCTCTCAACCTTGCTCCTTTGACTGACTTGTTTTTCTTTGTTTGCAAATTTGAAATGGAAAGCAAAATTACCCAACTACAGAGCTTTGTAAACAGTCTCCTAAGGAAAACTGGTTTATTTCCTCCATGAGTAAGGTGGTTTTCTCTTGAGGTCAGACCCCACTTAAGTAAGCAGGTCGTTATCTTTGACTCTTGGTCTGACAGCATACAAAGTAGATTTGCTAGTGGGATCCCTACGTAAATTAGTGTTATTTAAGCTAGTGTGATCTGAGGAGCTCATCTTTAGGAGGTATGGTTAAAGCCTTGTCGTTGCCTCTGGAGTTTTGTTGTTTTTTGGTAGGTCTGCCTGTGTAGCCCAGTCTGACCTTGAACTCCCTCCTGATCCTTCTGCCTTCATCTTCTAAGGGCTTGGATTATATGTGTGCTACCATGTCTGGTTTGAAGACTTATTTATCATATATATTTTAACTTTTTTTTTTTTTTTTTAAGGCTGTGCGTGTTACAAAACCCAAAATCCCAGAAGCCATAAGAAGAAATTTTGAGTTAATGTGAGTAACACTCATGGGCTCCTAATATTTCTTTTTAGAGCTATTTACATATTAATATAGCAGTCTAGGGAAAACGTGGAAGGAAATGCTCAATCTGGGATTGGATAAATAGCTGTTTTCTGTACTTTAGTAATGTTACCTTTTGTATCATAATGCCCAGTAAATACTTACTAGATTTCTCTTTATGTATGGACATTTCCAGAACAGTACTCAAAGATGCAGTTTGCTGTGAAATAATTGCTGAGACACAAGGAGCTATAATCTATTTATGAATAGAGCCTTGAATGAAATATTAATAAAACAGGGAAGCCTGTTAATGTTGAAAAGAACGCCTTTTTTGTTACCTTATTATATAATGGTAAGAATGGGGGATGACTCAGCAGTTCAGAGCACTGGCTGCCCAGTCCCGGGGATCCAACGCCCTCTTCTGGCCTCTATGGGCACCGCAAATATATGGTACACAGACAAGAAGGCAGGCAAAACACCCATACACATTTTTTTAAAGGGGCCTTTTTTTTTTTTTTTTTTAAATGAATGGATACTTAACTTGGTATAAAGCTTAGGGATTTTTGTGTGTGTGTGTGTGTGATAATCAAATCTGGGTCTTTACACATTGCCTGTAGAGAGATCTTGCCTGAGTTTGAGTTGTCTTCAGGGTATTTTTCTTTTTTATGTCTCCAGAACTGGCTAGAAAGAAGTTATTTACCTGATACAGGATTAGTTTCTAAGTGTTTTAGAGGATCTCTTTATGATAATACTTAAAATATTTGAAACAGCAATATTCTCAGGGTGAAAAGAAGAGACAAACATCTTTAGAAATTTTGGCTTTTGAGAAGAAATAAGAGATGATGCTAAATTTAAAATATCTACAAAAACCAGGAATACAATAGATGAGGGCTGGGGATGTGACTGTGGCAAAGTGCCTGTTTACCTGACATACACAAGCCTGAGTTCAGTCCCCAGGGCACACACAAGCATGTTAGTACATACATGCACACACACACACACACACACACACACACACACACACACACACACACACAATATAGCAGGTGTATAGATTCAGGGTCCAGAGGAATAATGATGCTGCTCTGTGGTGTAGTAAACCTGAGTCCTTTTTGTTCCTAGTCTGTCTTCTGTTGTGCAGTTTGTCTCTCCTGTTTCATTGTAGAGCTGTACTTAAGAGTACAAAGCATAACGTATCAAGCTGGGAGGTAGGTTATGAATCTGAGCTGCTAATAGAAATGTTATCCAAGGATCAGGAAGTCTTAAACTTTAGATATGATTGCTTCTACTAATCAGTGAATTATGTGGGTTCTCCCCTTCCCTCTCCACCTCTCGTTGTCCCACCTGTCTCCTTTCCCCCTTCTCTCCCCTCTCTGTCCTTATTCAAAAGGCCACACACGAGAAGCTTGAGCTACACTCTCAAAGCTGCATGTTACTGTGCTTTATCCCCAGTACCGCACAGAGGGGAGAGGGAGGGAAGGGAGAGACAGCACCTCTTCTGATTTGTATGATGTTTTACTTCGCAGGGAGGCAGAGAAAACAAAGCTGCTTATAGCTGCACAGAAACAGAAGGTTGTGGAGAAGGAAGCTGAGACCGAGAGGAAAAGGGCGGTTATAGGTACTTGATTTCTCTGTGATCAGTATCTCTGACTATAGCTACTGTGACTTGGTCCTGTTGTTTATCAGTTTCTTGTTGGATAAAGAGGGGACTCAAGACAGCATTATGTGTAGTGGAGAATTCTGGAAACTTCATTGTATATCCAGATGTCCTTAAACCTTTAAAAGTAAGTGAAGCTAGTAGGTTATGAAGCCTAGCCTAGTTACTTTTCAGTCTGTAGTATAATTTCATTCTTGTGAACTCCTGCGGAAGAGTTCCTTTCTAGTTTGTTCTTGCTGTAGACCGCTGTGTGACTGTCCTTTCCAGCGTCTCTGTGCACACATGCAGGAGTTTTCCTAGATAACTTGGGTCAGCATGGGGGCGTGGGACAGTGCCTGTCTACTGAGAGAACTTAAGACGTTCTTAAAGCATCTTCGCACAGTTTTTTTGTTTCTTGAATCTAGTAATTTTAGAGCTTATAATTTTATGTTTTGTTTTAAATTTCACTTTTCTAATAATTCATTTTTATTGTAGTTTGTAATCTGTTGGCTCCTACTAGATTGTAATTCAAGGAAAAAAGGTACTTTGGAGTAGGTTGTTGTAGAGAACATTCCACAGAGCAGAACTGCCGAGTCACAATGTATGCATATGATCAGGTTTCTCTTGGTGCCAAACTGTTCTCCTCTCCCTGTCTTCAGCATTGAGTTCTGGTTTCTCTGCTGCTGTAATGCATTCTCCTTTCTCCATGTCCTCCTCACCTCTTGGAGTTACAAGATGACAAACATTCGTGTCAGTTCGGTGATGGACAGAGTATCACATACTTTCAGTTTTAATAGTCCTGATTAGTGGTAAAATTGTTTATTGGGGTTTTTTTCCCCTTAAGGTCTATTACCCTTCTAGTATTTTAAACCAGTTATTTGACTGCTTTTTTTGAGCTGGTTTATGGTGTTCTTTATATATTTTGAGTACTGATCCTTCCCCATATTTATGCATTGCAAATTATCTTTTCTTGATTTGTGGCTTATCTTTGAACTGAGATATCTTTGAGGTATATAAATTTGATTTTCACATAGTCTAGTTCATCAAAAATCCAGTGGTTTGTGCCTTATCTTGTTTACAAGTTATTTTGCCTCCACAGGTATCAATTTTATTCAAAATGTTTAAATTTCTGCTTCTTTGTGTATGAACCTTTAATCCATAAGGGATTTATGTTAATGTTTAATGTGACAGAGATTCGTCTTTACTTTTTCCAAATGGCAATCCAGTTATCTCATACTATTGAGTAGTTCTTTATTTCCACTTTTTGAATGTCATTTATGTTATACAGTAAGATATTACAT